CTTTCCTTGAGATTGTTTCGTTGTGCAAGAGCTTTGCACTACTGATTATAACTCTGTGATACTCATTTTGTTCCTTAATCAGGTTTATCACTCGAGTTTTGTGGATGAACAAGGGACAACAAAGGCATGTGGTTGTCCTTTGCTTCCTCTCAAGAGCCATATAAAGGGTCCTGCACCTGTTTCAGAACAAGGTATTATCAAGCATACATGTGATTTTAAAAGAAAAATCAAGAATAAGGCATTTTGATATATGTTATTGTTTATATGCAGACAAAACGGATATTGTGGACGAGGCAATCACTTTCTTCCGAGCTAATGTCTTCTTCACGAATTTTGATATCAAAAGTCCTGCTGATAAGCTCCTTATTTACTTGACCTTCTACATAAATGTGGCGTTAAAGAGGCTCGAAGGCTGTAGAACATTGGCTGTAGGAACTAAAGCGATTATCAATTTGGGTTTAGAAGATATTCCTGTTCCTGGAGAAGCTGGTTTTCCTTTCCCAGGTCTTTTTGCACTTCCTCAGTCCCAGGACGAAGCAGGTACATGGAGTACATATAGTTCCATGCAATTCTCATTGATTCCTCGTCTTTCTTGTCTTTATGTAAAATCAGGCTCTGATAATTTTATAGGTCTTTTCCTTACACCTCGGTTTTGAGCTATTTTGCTCTTTACCGGCTGCTGAGTCTAGCGTATTTTGATCCCTCTTGTTCTGTGACTTCAAATGTCAGATCTTTTCAGGAACTACCTGAAGCAGGTTCGAGAGGAGACAAGTGGGAGGCTGCTGAGCGTAGCATATAGAGCTAATGGGACACCAAACAAATGGTGGCTTGCATTCGCCAAGAGGAAATTCATGAACGTGGTCGTCCTCTGATAAACAGATCATCACTGGTAATACTAATTTCTAAAAATTAGAAAAATCTCTCTATTTTCTTGGATTCAGCTCAAATAGTTGAAGACATACCATACCAGATTAAATTTCTCTTAGAGCAGCCTCAACCTCTGCATTTCAAGCTTTAAAAGTTCTTTTGATCTGATTAAATTTTTTTCTAATTTTGCAGTTAGGTATTCTTCCTTGCTTGCCACCCATTATGAATGAGGAAACCGGAGTCACTGTAGATCATGAGCATCACCGCCTTTAGCTTCCGTTCCATAGGCCATTGGAAGAAGGCGAAAATTTTATCTGAGAGCAGAAAGCTCTCTCTCTCTCTCCCCCTATACATGAGTGTGCAAATATATTGTTTCATACGCAACTTTTGTTGGAATATAAAATTTGTAGATAATAGATCAAAGTTAAATAAGAAGATGTTTTTGTTATTACATTAGATTAATAAAGTTCACCTCCAAGGTAATTATTATCAGATTGTAGCCACACTTTCTCACTCTTAGTAAATTATATAGAGGGATAGGAAATAGCTTTTCATACAGATAGCTGTGCCTGAAGCTATCAGGCCTTGGTGCACACATTTCCATCACAAACCCAGCCATCATTAGACTCGCCGCCACCTTCTTTCACAGGCGCATCCCCGGTAGCTTTTGTCTCCTCGTTTAAAGCACACTTGGCATGAAGATCAAAGTCGCACTCATCACAATGGTAAGACCATATCCGCCCTTCTTCGTCACACTTATCGCACATGTAGACCTGAACACGAGTCAATTCTAGCTCATGTTCTTCATGAAGCGCATGCTTCACCTTCTTAGGCCACTCTTTTGTCATCTCATTGTACTTGGCTTCAATCTCGTTCAAACGTTCCTCAGTAAAAGGGTAAGCATCAGCTCCATGGGCTAGCACAAGATCCCTTGCTTCTTTTGTTACGGTTTTCCCAGTTGGTCCCAGAGCTGCTAGCATTGGGATGCCACCGACCTTAAAGGCTCGGGACAAGGTCGGTTTCCTTGGATCACCATATGGAAGAGCAAGCCATGGCATCTGCGAGTAGTACTCACTGAATGCTTCCGGGTCCCGGTCACTGGAGATGAAGATCAACTCAAACGCTTCATCCCGCTCCTTTATCTGCTTGTACACTTCAACAAGCTTTGGTGTAAAAGCGCGACATGGAGGACACCAGTGGGCTGAGAAGTACAAAAGAATGTTCTTCCCCACCAGATCAGAAACAAGCACCTGACAAAAGAAAGCTGAATTTTAAAAGGTTGACTCAAATCGAGTTCGATGAACATTGTTTAGAAGATTAAGAGAGCTTAACCTTAGCCCCATCTTTTCCGAGAACGTAGTTAAGATCACCCGAGACAAGAAGTGACTCGAGTGTTTGAGCCTCTGCCTTTGCCTTCTCTATCTCCTTAAGTTCTCTAAACTTCTCTGGAGTGAAAGGATATGCGACAATGCCATAGTCCTCAATAGCTTCAGCAACATTTGAGTGACGGGTTTTTCCATCAGGCCCGAGAATGACCAGCGTTGGTAGTGTTGATAGCATGAAGTGCCGAGCCAGTTTCGATGAGCTTTTGTCATTGAATGGCAATGCTAGCCATGGCTTGGTCTCAAAGTCCTGCTTGAAAGCCTCCTCATCATCTTCAAGAGATATCAGCACAATCTCAAAATCCTCCCCTTTCTCCTTCAACTTGTTATAAACCTCAACAAGTTTTGGACTAAACTCGGTGCATCGCCTGTAAGAGCCCGCTGAGAAGAGAAGACCAATAGTTTTGCCTTCAAGCTCTGATACTGGCACCTAATGAATATGCAATTGATTTATCTCATTAAGTCAAAAAGAAGCCCAAAAAAAAAAATGGTTTGCATTAGGCATATTAATAAGCGTGTACCTTGTTTCCGTCTCGGGCAATCACAAAGTCCCGTGAAGGAGTCACCAAGACGGATGCTAAGGTCTGTTCTCTCCGAGCTCTATCTTCTTCATCTTTTATCTCCTTCATTCTCTCTTGTGTGAAAGGATAAGCATCAGCTCCATAGCTACGAATGACACCGACCCCATTCTCATTCTCAAGTTTACCCTGATCATCGATCACCACTAGGTTGGGAATACCCCTAACCTTAAACACCTCATCCAAATGATCACGGGTTGCTGAATCAGTAAACGGGACAGCAAGCCACGGCATCTTACTGAAATAATCTCTAAAAGACTCTTCATCCTCATCTCCCGACACAAAGACAACCTCGAAACCAACTTTTGCAACGAGTTCATTGTACACTTCCACCAGCTGTGGAGTGAAGCGCTGACATGGTCCACACCATGCAGCTGAAAAATACAGTCCAATCTTCTTCCCTTTCAAGCTGTCAATCTTCACCTGAACATAAGAAAAAAAAGAGCATATAACCAAATTCTACCAAACAAAACCCCAAATGATCAAAAGAAACAAAGTCTCAAAATGTTTCCAATCCGAAATCTAGAAGAACTCAGGGGACCACAAAAGCCCTGTGAACTAGATTGAAGCCAACAATGAATCGAAGAATCTGAGCACATTATGCGAACAAAAGCAACCGATGAAAGTCATCCATAGCAAAATCTAAACAAGAACACCAAGCTATCTATCATCTAAGAACATTCTCTTCATAAACAGGAACCATAAAACCAGAAGAATCGGTTCAAAACATAAATCGCGAAACAAGTAATCGAAAATCGAGAGAAGTTTAAGATATACGACAGTAAACTCAAAATCCATCGGAAACAAACAATTTTTACCTGTTGGCCGTCATTACGGAGGAGGAAATCCCTCGCCGGAGAAGAGAGAAGCGAGTGAAGATCTCGACCGTCGACGCCGTTAACTTCCGTCGCGATTTCAGCCATGGATTTGTACGGAAACGAAGGGTTTGTTTGATCGATTTGGGAATAGCTATCAACAACACACGAAGACTGACTCGTCTCTCTCTTGACTTGTGGGGGGGTGCCAAATATGGTGAAAGCGTCTCTTTAATAGAGACAAAAACAAAATATTTTCCAATTAAATCAAAGAACTAAACCCAACAAAGACGTGTACTGGTTTTTCTTCCTCGTTAAGGTAATGATTGAAAGACCGACCATATCTCAAGCCCAGCCCAAAGCTATAGTTTGTTGTTGAAGCAAAAGCCCAACTAATTAAATTTAAACCATATTGGCTTAATTAACTAATTTAGATGAGCGCTTCATTTATGGTGGTATCAATAAACCAAGTTACCAACCAACCAAGTAATTAACATGCACGATTAGTAGAAGTTTTCGACCTT